AAAATTTTCAAATCATTTTAAAAAATTTATTTATAATCTATTCAAAATATTTTTCTATTGAAAAAAAATTATTTTGAAACTATGCTTTATTAAAATTTTATATTTATAGAAAATTAAAAAAATAAACCATCAAAACGGCCTTTATCGGCTCTAATTTAATAAAAGGAAGAAATCAAGTTATTGAAAATATTTTCTATTTTATATAAATATAAAATTTTAATAAAATCATATTTAAAATAGATTTTTTGACAAAAAATAGAGTTTTGAATAGATTAATAAATCTATTTTTTAAAATGATATGAAATTTTTTTACTTAATATTTTAAAATGATATGGAGTGTTTTTATTTAAATTTTTAAACGGATAAAAAAATTTATTTAATTTTTAAAAATGATATAGAATTTTTTTTTGAAAAGGATTTTCAAAATTTTAAGTAAATTTTAATTGTTTAACATATATTTTCTATTAAAATAGTATTTTACTTATAAATAATATCATAATAAAAAATTAAAAAATTATTTTAAATTATAATATTTTATAATATATATATGAAATGTAAAAAAATCAATTTTTTCTTTAATTATTTTTTTCCTTATTCTTTATTTATAAAATATATTAGAAAAAAATAAAAATAAAGATATTGAATAGTTTTTTTTATAGAAAATAATATTTTCCAATATGATTTATTAGTAAAATAACATTTTTAATATAAAATAGTTTTTTTTAAATGGCATGAAATTTTTTCAAAAAGATTTTAAAAATATTAACTTAATATTAATTTTTGAATATCTATTTTTATAAAAAATATTTAACTAATAAATTATATTAGAATAAAAATATAAAAACATTATTTTAAATTTAATATTTATAAAAGTATATTTGAAACTAAAAAATTGAGATAATAATATCTTTGATATCTAAATTTAAAATAAAATTCTATTTTAATCTTTCCGAGATGTTAGCTAATACCATTTATATGACACTTATTGATATGTACTGTTAATTTAAATAATTGGATAAATAAAATGACCAAATTAAGATAATTTTAAATAATTAAAAATCAAATAAAAAATTTTAAAAGATTAAAAATAAAAATAAAATTTTAGAATGCTGTTAACTCGCCTGAAACGTGGGATTTGATGCAAAGTAATACTTAATATTATAATAATAATTAAGAAATGTAGTTGCAGTGCGTAAAAGCAACAAGTGAACAGTGATTAGATGATTCTGATCACATGGAGGCCCATTTGCCCGACACACTAAATCTCTCCGTCAATCCCAACACCTCCAACTGCCCACCGGTTTCCGTCTCGGAAACATCAACATCCCCCTTCCTTTTCCACTAATTTCCCTAAAGAAAAAAGGGATTAGTATCTTTTTTTTTTTTTGTGAAAAGAAAAAAATTTTAATTGCATTTTTCATGCTTCAATTATTGTAAATTAATTGATTTAGCAATTGAAAAAAAAAAATCTCGGATTGCAAATTTTCTTACTGTTAAATAAATTGCGCATATCACTAATTTTGTTAGTCAAACGAGTGACTAGATACATAACAATAGATACAAATTAAAATTAAATACGTGATATATTTTTATTGATTATTTTTTGACGTATCATTCATTTGATTAAGAGAGTTAATTTTATGTGTAAAATATTTAAACAAAAAAAAACTTCAATGCTTAATTGTAATTTAATGAAATTTAAATACTAAATCAAATATTTAATCATAAGTAAGTGACAAATGTGAAATTAACCGTATATAAAGTAATATATTTATTAAATTTTGTTCATAATTGTCATATTTATTGTATATTATATTTAATAAAAAGTATATGAAAGTATTCAGAAGGCAGATTATTTGATTGTATATGAAAAAATTTGAGGTTATAACTTTTGTCTAACTGTTTTTTAATTTAAAACCAAAATCTTGAAAATAAAATTTTAAATTTTAATTATGTAAGTGTTTCATCCAAAGTAAGACCTATAAAACACTCACAAATCCTAAAAAAAAAAGGGTTATTAAAGAGTATTAAGTAATATTTTTTCTAATTTATTAAAATTTATCAAATTAACTATTAATTATTAAAAATATTGTTATAAATAAAAATTTGAATATTCTTAAAAATATCTTTAATAATACTAGTAAACAGAATTTAAAAAGAAGAAAAAAAAAAAAATATATATATATATATATATAAATTAAAAGAAAAGGTTTTTAAGGGCTCTAGGTGGGTCCCATCATAAGAGAGAGGGAGGAAGATGAGGAGGCACATGGGCGGTGTTTGGTTCAAGAAAATCATGTGATCACATGTGCTTTCTCTCTTCCACCTTGTTTTTGCATTTCTGTGTCCTTCCCCTTTTCTCCCTGCTCTCTAGTGCTGACAGTAAGCCAGCTTGACTATTTAAAGTGCGCGACTATGTGCCACAGCTTTCCAGCCACAAGATATTTTGGATGGTAAAATTTGACCATTGATGAGAGGAGAGACAAAATGAGGGAAAATTACAAAGCAAGGCCATAGACCAAATTAAATTGACTAATCCCAAATATTTTTGTTTCTCTTTTTCTGCATTTTGTTTTTTCCTCCCCTTTATTGGAACTCAGATTTCCTTGTAAATTCAAATACTAGATTGACTTAGTCGTTATTACATTAATTGATATATTATTGTATCCCTATCCTCCTTAACACTAGTTTAAATATGCCACATGTATCTCCTATCACCTGCACAAACTGTCTATAAATATATATTGATGAATACAAAGTAATACATGACACTTCATTAAGATAGTGTGTTTTGTACTTTTTGCAAGATCATCTTAATAATATAATAATTAAAATGATTTTATTATTCATGATTTGAAAATACTTTATTTGATTAACAATTATCAATATTTAGTAATTGAAATCAAGTATTATTTTATTTAAATGTATGAAAATAATTATGTTTTTTTGTAATAGTTACACAATTTAATAATTTTATTTATTATAATTTAAATATAATAATTTATAAAAATATTAGTAATATTTTATTTATTTTATAATAAAATTAATTAAATTATCAAATTAATAAATATATTTATTGATAGGTAAACAAAATTTTATAATATAAATTAGGTAAAAAATATTTGAATTAGAAAATAAAACTAATATATTAAATTCAGAATAAAAAATTATATTATATATAAAATATAAAAAACACTCAAATTATTTTTGAATTTATTACAATGAATTATATTTTTAAAATATAAAAAATTATAATAAAAATAATTATAATTTAAGAGAAAATAAATTTTTAATTTATATATTAAATAGTAATATTAACTATGGTTAATTTTATATATTACTTTATCTCGATGATAAAAGTTTCATATCTTTTTAGATAAGAATTAAATCACATTTTAAAATAATGATTTGATCACTTTCGACGATCTAAGATTACTGTCACGTAAAATCATCAAGTTTTATCAAACATAATGATCTAATTACTATGTGTAGATCACCTTAATTTTTGAAATGATCACTTCATACCAAATACTACATAAAGAAAATTTGTTTGATATACTAATAATGAAGTTTTTTTTAATTCTATGAGCGAAATTAAAATGATAACACATTTTGTACTTTTTTAAATTAATTTTTTAATTTTTTAAAAATATACACTAAAATAATAAGTATTATCATACTAACTCTACTTGTAAAATTTAAAAATTTTACCGTCAATATATTTGATAATTTTTCTTTTATTAATCATTTACATATTCTCCTATGCTACTCTTTTCTAATTGTTTTCATCATACATTATTTGCAGCTACTACTTTTTTTATACCTATTCCTCGTCGTAGCTGCCAAGAAGAGCAAAATTGAGCTATGATATCAGATTTGTTGAGAATTGCCAAACTAGAGTTTTTACTGTCAGATTAGCATCGATAATGGCCATATTTGGCCTCACTCGCAGCGAGAGCCCTTGACCCTCTGGCACCGTCCAACGTCTTGATTGTTGCTACGGCATGGTCTAAGAGCTCCGACTATTTTGGCAATCCAAATTCAATCCTCGTCATCTGCAACTGCCTTTGATTGGTCATAAAAGAAAAGAAAAGAAGAAAAATAAAAATACAAAAAAATAGAAAATATAATGTAGATAAATTTAATTTTTTAAATTAAAATTAATTACTCCTTCCGCCTCATATTGATTAAGTGATATTTACTTTTATGAAATTAAAAAAAAAAGTTTTGATTTTAATGTATTGAATAGTAAAATTAATTTTTTTACAAAATTGAAGTTTCATGACTTTTAATGTCAAAAAGTTAAAAAAATCATAAAAAATAATTTTAAAATATAAAAAATAAGAATTTTAGATATTAAAAAAATGACGTAATTTTGGGACATTTCAAAAAAGAAAGATGAACAAAACAAAAATGGAATAGAAGGAGTATAATTCTATAAATTAAAAAAATTTTGTGAGAAAGTTTTATCTTAATTTGATTTTTGTGGGTTTTAAGTTCGATTTTTATAACATTTATTCATATTATTTATAATTAAATAGTTAAATTTGAGGAATTTATAATATTTTTCTATATTATTTATAATTAAATAGTTGGATTTGAGATGTAAGCTATAATTAAGTTGGGAATAAAAATCAAAATAAAAAAAGATAACGTTACTTAGTTAATGAGATAATTTTAATTTTCTATAATTATCAAAACCTTGATTTCGTCTTTAATATATGTTCTTTCACATAATTGTAATACTTTACTTCCTACCATAACAATTGGTAATTGTTGCTTGAGTTGTCATTTTTAGGTCAACTACTTGTTCATCAAGCTATATTTTACAGCCGCCACATCTAACGGTGTCGCTCACGTGTTGTGCACGTAGTGGACACTGATTATAGTCTCTCCCCTATTCTCTATGGACCTATCCGCAAGTGATCCCCGAAAAATCCGTTTGGTCACCACTTCCTTCCAATTACGTTTGGGCTTTTCCGTCAATTTGCTTTAGACAGCGTCCCACCCGCTGCATGTGCTGGACTGTACATTTTGCCTGCGCTAACGCTTTAACCATGACACATGCACGCACTATTCGACAACCCTTCTCACGCGCTATTGTTTGCATAGTGAAATTTACATCCCGGCGCCAATTCAAAATTAAGGGCTTGGGAACCCAAAACTGGCTGGGCCTAGCTTCGTTGGCATGGACATCTCCAGAGCTTTATAATAATTTAACTCTCCCTATCGTGCACCCAAACTCTCTCGCCCCTTCCCTTCTTCAACCCTCCTTTTCTCCTTCTTCTTCTCTTCTGTCAATGGCGAATGCCTTGAACCAAACAAATATACCCACATTTAATGGCAAAGAGAGAAAAAGCTACCAAGATCCTTTGATGGGAAATGCATTGCATGAACCTTTACCCAGTTCACAAAGAAGCCGAGGCAACAGAAGAAGGAAAGAGTACTTGAAGGCTCAAAAGAAGGATTGTTTGAGTGAAAAGCAAGGAGAAGGAGAAGATGATGATGATGAGAAGACAGAAGTGAAGAGGAAGATTGTGGCATTGCAAAGGATTGTTCCAGGTGGTGAGACTTTAGGGGTTGACAAGCTGTTTGAAGAGACTGCTGAGTATATATTAGCTTTGCAGTGTCAAATTAAAGCCATGAGAGTTCTTACAGGCCTTATTGAAGGCTTGGAGAAAAAGAAAAGAAAGCTTGGAGGTTGATCAGAGACAGACTGGTTTTTTCTCAATTGTAATTTTTTTTTTCTTTTTGCCTAGATGGTGAAGGAGAGCAAGATCTCATCCTCTTTCATTTTTTTTTGTTTATAGATTTTGGTTTATTATGTTAACTATTTTAATAGCTGAATGAATAGGAGGAGAAGTTGTTTAGTTCTGTTAAGTGCAGAGAAATCAGAATCAGAAATTATTAGTATTGGTAAAAGCAAAGAAATTATATATTTAATGGGTGATTGAAGAATGAAGATAAACTTGCTGGAATCAATTGATTTTACAACATCATCTGTTGTTATGGTGCGTTTGATCTTGGTTGGAGCATTGAAGTGAAGTACACTATGTCATGGTTTGCTTTTATTCTGGGTGGGTGGGTAAGAGTTTACCATTTTAATCTTGGTGGAGTTTGAACTGCTATCTGCTTGGAGTCTAGTTTTGGGCCAACGATGACTTTGGATAGGAATTAAAATGAACGCATCATTTCTTAATTTGTATCACCAAAATAGAAATTTCTAGGCCATTGAATCTATGATAATATATTAAAACAGTCCCTTGGCTGCAATTTTCAGACAACTTAGATTTGGGTTAAATTATGATTTGAAGGTTAAAGGTGGGAGTAACACTAGTTTGTGAGGTTAATTAAGGAAAGAGTGTTGATATCGGGCTGAAAATGTCATTAAGGGTTGTTAGTTGAATTATTTTAAACGAAGCTTTTGGAGGCCTTCATGACTAAACAAGAAAAAAAAGCTTTGGTTTGAATCTAAAAATGGGAACGCATAATGTGAAACCCCTCCTTACAATATGTTTTACTCCAGCAGGTGATTACTTCGCAATTTTGTCCCCGATGAAAACCATCAAAGTGTTTCTTTCTATCTTTACCTACCTTTTTCATTTCTTTTAGAAATTTTTGTTTTAGTTGCTCTTGATATTTTAGAATGTTCGTTTTTTTTGGACCTTTATTATTGCTCTTGAAATAAATTTACGATTGTAGAAAGTAATATTACCTATGTTAGTGCAATACTTATAAGGAGGTCGGTTGAAGGACTAATTCTATGTTGCAAATGTTTTTTCTTTCTCCCTTTGAATATATATAAATATATATTTGTATATATATATATATATAATTATCAAGAATCCTTGAATTTGACGGGGGAAAAATAGGTTTTGAGAGTTGGTAACTGTATGGAAAATTGTGTAGATTTTGGGATTAATTTAAACTGGGTTTATTATAGGTGAGATTTGATTAAGGAAATCCAAGGACTTTAGTTAACAAGCTAAGATTTCTGGATAATGGCAATTAGGTTAGTTATTTAGTTATAGGTTGGGTAAAATGTTAGAAATGGAAAAGAGTAGGACTTTACTTGGTTTGAAAGATGGGGTTTGCTCTAGTTTGTATAAAAATTGAGTGGTTGCCTCTATTCAATCCTTCAAAATTCTGCCCCAATTTTCAAATTTCAAGTTAATTTTAATATATTTATTTAATTAAGTCAGGAAAAAAAGGGTTGTAAGTATGCAAGTTATGTGACATGTTATACATTCGCTTATTTAGATAGGATATGTATTTGTGTGAATGAAATCAATATTTGTATTGACTAATTTCATATTTGTATTTAAAGAACAAAATTCATAATTGTGTGAATGACAACATAATTTGAATTTATAACTTTCATATTCGTATTGCTAAAAGAATGTTTGGTGGAATGTATATGTCATAAAATGATTTGAATTTAAATTTAACATTAGGATGAACAATTTGACTCAAAGTAATCACATTCCACTTGTATAATGCGAATGATATAAGACAAATATAAACAAATAAAAGTTTACCAATAAACCAATAAAAATTAACAAATTCTTAAATCATAGTACCTATACCAATAATTTTGGAATGCTTGTATATATTTATAGCCAATTTGGTTGTTCAACATTAAGGTTTAGCGAATGTCGATACGTAATCACACTATTTTTTGTGTACTTTATCAATTTCTTTTGCGTGAAGCTTCCCTTGTTCGTCAATTTTAAACAAAAAATAAAAAGTTAATATTAATCAACTTGCAAATATTATATAAATTTAATTGAAAGATATTACTATTATATGATATTAATACTAATCTTGAATGGTGTGCCTCATAAGATCATACAAAACAATCTCCTTAAAAAAATGAAAGACATAATATCCACATTCGATAATTCCTAGTTGACAAGGAACTTAAAAATAAAATTGAATAGGTTGATAGACATTTATCTAAACAAATTTAAGCATAAAAAATATATTTTACACTTACCAGTAATGACACTCAATTGAACTTTCTATTCTTATGAACTATAACCAGTTGCCTAAATTAAACACAAAAACCATAGTAAACAAATAATAATAATAATTACACAAAAACACAATTTAATCTAATTATCACTTATTCATAAAATGTAATACATCTTTATTAACTTGACAATATCGATTATAGGCATCGCTATTGGTTGTGCGAAATTAAATAAGTAAGGAGTCCACATATTAATATCAATTACACTAATCTACTAATGACCCTGTAAAATAATAGGCATGATATCAAAATAATAGGCATGATATTAGATGTCATAAATGATACAATTATTACTATGAATAGAACTTATAAGGTGTTATAAGGCACAAAAAAATAATTGGATGGTTTTTGCATGCATTGACCTACATGACGAGAACAATTGGCAATAGTGCCACTAACAAGACTAATCAAATTTGAGTCAACAAATTTAAATCTATGAGTCAATTGTCTCTCATTTATCTCTTTGTATAGGAGGCTACATGATGACAATCAACAGTATCATTTAATAATACTACATAATATAAGATAATTGATATTGACAGAATATATTTAAATTAATTGATAAGCTAATCTCATATACGCAACAACATCAAAAGCTGATATCTCATCCATGGTACAAAATGTCTCAATCTCTGCCTGCCTAATGGAAGACATTGATGGAAAATCAAATAATCCATATACTCCCTCAATGACAATGATATTTCCTTCTGATAAATGATTAAGCACATAAGTAAATAATGCATTTATGGCAGACTCTGCGGGTGTCATTATCTGAGTCTGAATATCTTGTTGCAAAATAGTATGAAATATAAATCCTAAAACCAATTCAAAAAATAAAAAATACAAATAAATATTCAATCAATAAACAAAATTAAAATAATGATGATTATCGGAGATTGGGTTTGTTGTAAGACTTGATTCATGAATTCATTTTCCTATTGGATATTAGTAATAGATTGCTCTCGAGGCATGTTAGGTTACATTACTACCAACATTATCTCCAAAGCTGTGAGTTATTGCTGTTGATCATTTAGGTGTTGCTCTTACTCATTAAGTTTTTGTTGTTGCTACAGAATGATTGCTTTATATTCTACATTTTTCATTGGGGGGTTTGGGTTGATTCTTGAAGAACTGTGATGGCGACACAAATCTGCCAACCCCCCAAACTTGAACATGCTTGTCTTTGGATCCTAAAACTAAGGATAATAGATCTTCACCATAATCAGTTCGTAACTCACCAAATTCATATCTCGTAACAAATTCATTTTGAAACACCAAATGATGGTGAGTAAATAACCAAATACAATATATAATCATGCATAAAAGTACATTCATCATTCGTGATAAAAAATGAAATAAACTTATAATCTTTTTAGCCATTTTTTTAGTATCTTCATCTACAAATGATCTATCTTTATGTATGTCTTTTTTTTTCAAACATCTTATCTAGAAACTTTGATTCCAGAGTTAGATGATTCCTAAAAAAGGAATCATTATAAGTTTCACAATATATGTTTACATGTTCATAAATATTCATATATAAGTATAAAATAAGCGTTTGAATACTTATTAGATTATGCTTAACACTTGCATAACTTTTTTTTGATGTCCAATGGTGATATAATTGTTGGGCTCTAATGTTTTTTTGTTATTTTTTGATTTTTTGAAAAAAAAAGATAAATCACATATTAAGATGTAAAATATATTAAACAAAATATTACAAACAATTAACAAACTGAGTATGCATACCGAGAATTTATCTGATAGACGATCTTGAACAAATTACGATCACTTTTCAGAACTGATAACATTTGCATATGTTGTTGGAGGATCAGCCAACAATTCATAATTATTAGCGAATGGTAAAATATATTAGGTTGTTAATCTGCTCTTAAAGTTTCTGAATGCTTTCTAGTCGATTGTAACACAAGCTTTTTATATTTAGTTGGGACATCAAACAATTCCTAAAAAATTGAATACATTATATAAAATCAACACATTAATTCAATTTATTTAATAATTAACAAAAATTTAGATATTGTTGAATAAACATACCATAACCAAGTCACATATACTATCATTTTATCATTAGAGACCATTCGCCAATTAGAGTAGGTAATAAATATACTATGCCGGATGATAACTCTAATGTGGCTAGCCAACCTTGCATCTCCACTTAACATAAGCTACCCATCTTGATTAAATTCTATGTGAATTTTAGTTCACTCACTTTAATTTGTTTACCACATCCCCTTAATTTTTTTTTCATGAAATGTGTATCTTCTTCATGTTTAGTAGAAGGAGATATATATTCTTCAGATGTCATAATACCTACGATTTTAATCAAAATTATATGAAATACATTAAACTGTCTATCTATATATCCCACATAATAAAAACAACCAATATCCAATACAATAAATACACCAATATACATATAATAGAAGAAAACCATTAATATTATAAAGGGTACAAGCTATACTATGTTTCACCATATCATAAGAGTTCCATGTAAAGCAAATGAGAAAAAAATATAACTATTTTCCATAAAATCATTTGGTAAACCATAATACTCCAACCAAACAATAAAGATAATACCATACATGCAATGCAAATAAAGTATGTGATGTTGGTGATGATGGTAAATGTTTATATAAATATATATAGTAAGGAAAAAATGACTTAGATAGACAAATAAACATTGTACAAAAAGGATTAAATTTGCACATACCAAGTAAAAACTATATGTGATGGCGTTGAGTGGTTTTCGATTGACGGCGATGAAGGAGATGAAGAAACCAAAATACTAAGTGAATAGGTTGATGGGATTAGGAAAATACATGTATTTTAGTCTTTATTGTTTAACTGTATTAGCTGTTTGGTTTTCTAAAGTTTAAGAATGAGAATGAATCTTTTAAAATGATAAATTAAGGTGTTTGTAAACATAAATGCCTTAATTGATTTATTTTATAATTTTAAATAAATCAATTAAGGTATTTGTATTAAGGTGTTTGTGTATAGAAACACCTTAATTGATCTAAATAATAAATTATAAAACAGATCAATTAAGGCATTTGTGTTGAGAAACGCCGTAATTGATCTATTTTAAAATTTATAAAATAGATCAATTAAGACATTTGTGGATAAAAACACCTTGATTGATTATAAAATAGATCAATCAGGCATTTTTCAACATAAGTGCTTTAATTGATCTATTTTATAATTTTTAAAACAGATCAATTAATGTGTTCAAAGTACCAAGTGTCTTAATTGATCTTTTTGTTAAATAATATTTACCCTATCAATTAAGGCATTCATATTTACAAACA